GCGTGGCTGATGAGCAGTAGCTCATCTATCCAAGGAAAAATATGACCTTTTTTCATCGTGTCTGCAAACACCGAGGACAGAGCAGAACTGTTAGCGGTGCTGGATGTGCTCCACCTCTCCACCTCACTGTGCACAGAGCCCACCAGCGTGGAAGCAGCGGCTGCTGGTCCTTCAGGGTGCTTCATGGTGCCATTTATTAACCGTAGTCCTTGCTACACCTCACCGAGCTTCACTAGGGCTCGCTTAGCTTGGCATTGCCCTCAGCCGTTGCCCTGATGTCTGATGGCCCAGGAGGAGATGGCAGAGGGCTGCTGGAAGGGCCGGGACAGCCCTCCTGGGCTCTCCCCACCGAGCCACCTCACTGACACTGCCGAGGCAGCAGCAGAAGACGCGGTGACTGGCCTGATCCTCCCTTCCCCCACCTCCCGGTGCAGCATCCGTCAGTCCGCATGACCCTCCCCCTACCAAAACTGGCTGCTTTCTTCCTTCTTCTCTCCCCCCCTCCCTTTTTTTGGCTGAGTGATGAGCTGTATGCCAAATCCATCTGCTCCTGTCTCCCCTAGCTGCCTTCCATATCATTACAGGATCCCTGGCAGCGAGCCTAGACCTATCTCTCTCCCTGCACTCTTAGGAGCACATTCCTTTCTACACCTTTTGCCGAGCTGGGATAGAAATGAGTATCAACCCCAAACAAAAAGCATCTGCTTTCTGCCTGCTTCTGCTTCACCGGACGCGCATGTACGCTACACCCGTGTCAGCAGCGAATGCAAAACACACACAACCCCCCACCTCGCCGCCCCGCATCCAACATGGGCTGACGAAACTTTGGGCTCCGGGAGCCTGCCTCACACCCTCTCCCTCTCCGTCTCCGCAGCACCAGCTGTGACCACCGCACCATTTGTTCCTCCAGCCCACGCCAGCACTCGGAGCCAGTTCTTTATCACCCCAATTAGCCTTGTCTGTGCTGATGAGAGGAGAGAGGCTTCCACTGCAAGGCAGAGACGGGGGGAAGAGAGCTGGTGCGCGGTGGGCACCGTGAGAGGCGATTCCCTTTACGGCGGCTTTGTTCCCTGGGAGGGATAGATTTCACCGGGTCAAGAGCACCGCTAAAAAGCCAGCACTGTCATCCTGCCTGCATTACCTGGGTGATGCTGGTTTATAAACAGTTGCTTGAGTAAGGTCAGGGGACACCGTTTCTTAGTTTTTTTCCCTTTTTTTGTCATGCACTTGGCTGGCTGCTAGAGGGAAGAGAAGCATCCTCAGGCTGCACCAGCTCCCAGGTGTTGCAATGGGCTGTGGCGAGCGCTGGCCACATTTCTGGATGAATTTGGAGATGCACCTTGGCCATGTCCCCAGCAAGGATCTCCCTGCATCTATAGCAAATCATCCGGTAGCCCCACGGGGCAGGGGTGTGAAGCAATTCCCCCTTCTCCCGCTGCCTCGTTAGAGTGTCTCCCATGCTGGTGTGTCAGGATACCGAGTGGTCAATGCTGCACTGATGCTCATGCAGCCATCAGCCTGAAAGCCTGGTTTTTGTTTGTTTTTTTTTTTCCCAAACCAGCCCCTTGTAGCACTCTCTGCTTTTACACCACGGTTCCCTCAGTGCTGTTGTGAGTTTGTGTCCCTCTTGGACTTCTCTTCTCCTGGATTCATTATCGAAGGTCCTTTTCTGGTAGGCACCTCAGTTGTATCATCCCAGAGCCAGGAAGGGGATCCATCCTTTGCCCCAGCACAGGTAGATCTACCTCGCTGGGAGGAAGAGGATGGACACAATTCAAACCCAGTCCCATGGTGGGCACTCGGTTTGAAAGGACAAAGTCACCCTATGTAGGGTGGGACAGGTCGCATCAGTGTAGTCTTAACAGGGTAGAACCGGTTCCTCAGAGCACCCTCCATGGCAGGCGTTCCCTGTTAGAGGGGTTCCCAGCATGGCCATGACCAAGAAGGATCCTACTGGGGGTCGTCTTTGAAGCTGAGACACAAGAAACTTGACAAAGAACTGTGGTCTCCAGACCCGTTTCACCATGCCGTGTCCAGTGGAAGGTTGGCCAAACAGGTCCAGGATGCTGAACAGCTAGAGTAGCAGTCTACACTGAAGTAGGTGAAATTGCACTTTCCAACAAAAAAACGCTGAGGGATTCAAAGACTGAACTGGTACACAATAAGGTTGTGTCTTAATGTTGTCTTAATATCTGTAGCCTACCACCCGAATGCTTCTCCCTGTTCTTCTGCGTTTGATTGCCCAGTGAGAGGAGTAAGTTATTCCTGATGCATTTCTGAACGGCTTTGCCAGTGCTGCTGTGGAGTACGTCCCTCCGTACCTGCCTCCTGGGTGCAGACGCACCCCACAGAGCTCCTGTAGCTGAGGGTCTAGAGCAGTTTTTAATGTCTGCTTTATTAAAGTCAGCCAGAAGGGGATCTGCAGAGATTGCTCCAGTTCAACCAGTCACCCTCCAGCAAATTTATTTCACATCTTCCCAGGCTTCAGAAAGGCTTAAGTGCGCTCAGTAACATGCAGTTCCAAGCCAATGCCTGTGACCGATTGTATCTTCTTTCAAGATCTTCAGAGGAGTCCCTGACCACGTGTCCATCTTGCATTAGGCGTTCATTCCCTTGTCCTTCTGCTCAGACACCATAATCTGTCTCTGAAATATCACGCCTCAACCCTGTCCCTCTTAAAGCCATCCCACGTAACGGCCTTGTGTACAGCCTTGCCATGAATGAAGAGCTCAGCCATGCAGCGAAAGGAGGCCGTTTCCCTCCTGGACCCATGGGAAGGAAGCCGAAAGAACCTACAGGCAGTTATCTCATCTGTATCCTTCCACCAAGACAAGCTTAATTCTGCTTAAACTATTCTTGACGGGTTTCATCTAATTTGTGCTGAAAACTTCCCACCACAGAGACACCACACCTTCCCCAAGCATTTGGTTGCAATACTTTGCTCCTTCCCACTAGGATACTCTTCCTGCTGTTCAACTTGGATCTTACCCGATGCTTCTTGAATTGTGTCCCAAGGGAGCGTGAAGCAAAACATTACTCCTTTCTTCTGTGCTGTAGCCTCTTGCACATGCAAATACCACTATGCCTCCCTTGAACCTCCTAGACTCAGCACATCCAAATCCCCAACATTTCCCCATAGGTCTTGCTTTCAGACCACTAAGCTGGGGTCCACCAAGGCAGAGGTGGCTTTTCTTGGAGCTCCCACCTCTCCATCGCCCACCGGAGAGGAAGGGACCATTGGTGGCTCTCCGTTAGCTTTCTGCAGAGACATTCCAGTAGCAGGTTGGGTTTTGCTCTGTCCAAGCGGCCCCACGTCCCCAAGCCCTACTGACGCCAGCATGGACGGTCAAGGTTAGACCACCCAATTCCAGGTCATTTTAAAGCACTTCCCACCTTGGTATTTTCATACCAGTGGGTGAAACCACCCAGCCCCGATACTTTGGAGCTTTTCTTTCTGTCTCTAGAAGAAAAATAAGAAAACAATAGGAAGAAAAGCTGCGTCAGAGCCAGGCAGATCGGAGTTAATCCTCCCTCAAAATGGATCCCGTCAGTGCCGGTGTACGTGAGAATCGCCTCTCCTGCACCTTTGCTGGGTACTCTCCCCGGCACAATGCTTCACTTTGTGTTTCAGCACAGAAAGAAATGGTGAAGTTGCTAATAATGGCACTAAAAGAAAATATGCTACATCTGTTATGGATAGCAGTACAAAATTAGCTGATCACACCTCTGACACCCAAGATGTCTTCACTTAAAATACTCGTTGGCTTACTTTACATAATTTGCTGATTATATTTAAAAGAAATACAATTTTGCAATTACTGTTCTTTCTGGTGTGCTATCTATGCATCATTTTCTTTTTATGTTTATATATTTCTCCTTCATTAGTGCAGTCTGAAGGGTGATTAGATCCCTTCAAACATTTTACAGAGGTTAAACGTTGATTAAGATTTAATTATTACTGTAAATAGCTTGGAATGACATATGGTGCAAAAACCTGACATATGTGCATTTGAATAAATGAAGTGCTATTTCCCATGATGCTTCAGTAGCTGTTTAACAGCTTTGCTGAAGGGTTATGTTGCACCTCATGTTAAGATTGCTTTGATGTTATATTTTGTTGGGTTTTTGCAGCTGAAAGCTAAGAACAGTTTTTCCAGTTTTTAAAAACATTGAATATTTTAAATACCTAAATTGTTTTGCACAAATTTTTGCTAATTTGTCTAACTAGGTTAAACATTTTCAAAAGCATTTCGATTTTAACGTGGGTTCCTAGCATTGTGTCAGCAACAGCATCAATTCAATGTATAGGATTTCTAAAAGTCTGATCTTGCAAGGTGCCCCGTCCCGGTTGGGAGCGGGATCTTTGCTTGCCACGGGAACCGGGAGCACCACGGATCCCTCCCAGGAATACAAAGGTTCGGAGGGATTTCAGAACAAGGGAAAGCTTCGTGCGAAGCCGGCGAAAGGAAAAAATTAGGAAAGGGACGGAGATTTTATGGAGACAGAGAAAGGGGTAGGTAGATTTTAGCTGCGGTCCGTCCTCGTTGGAGGACATAGAGCCTTGGTCCAGGAGACAAATGGGGGTGTGCTGTCCCCTCCTGTCACCATGGCTTTGCCGGGTCCCTACGGGTGCAGACCACAGCTTTGGGGACTGGGTTCCTTCTAGCACCATGCGAGGGGACCGTGGCTGCGGGAAAAGGAAGGGATCCCTCCTGGAAAAGGATGGGTGGGATCCATTTGATTCTCAGAGACACTCTATAATTCATTGAATGTTGCAAGGCAGCAAGCATGCATCATTTCATGGAATATAAGTCAATCCAAAGAGAGTTGTTTTGAGACTTGAGCAGAGTAAAGCACATTAAAATGGCACGGAAAAGGCATGACTGACGCTGTATTATTTACATATTATACTTCTCTGCATTAATTTATTGATTTATCGAGCTCCTGCTGCAGCGCAACGCGATACCGATTCTGATCTTGCCTCCTCTTTGATTTCACAGATTGAGACATCTCGGCTGGAGCCAGAAATCGCAATGGCCACCACCAGTAAGACTGTAGTCTACAATAAAGGATTGTAAGTGGAAGCGGACAATCTCAGCCCAGAAGATTTGGGGAGGGAAAGGGGGAAACTTGAGATCCCGACTGGGAAAAAGGAAACAACAACAAGAGAAAACAAATAATAGAGCTCAGCGATAGTAACGTATTACCGCTCCCGGCGAACTGGGAGTAAATTAACACTTGCAGAGAACTGACGCCTCACACCAGTCAAAAAGATTTATATTAAAAGTTTTAAATTAGCAACAGGAGCAGCAACAAAAAAATTACATTCAAACACTTTAGAGGACTAGCTAAAGAATAATCTCAGAACTTAGTAGCACTGCATGGAGGGATGTTTAACGGCGTGTTTACATGGTTATACCTAACTACATGACTACATGAAAGTAGGCTTCACCGAGCAAATTTTGTTTTCAGTGCAAATTAAATCTCCACACTGATGCCGCACAAAAATAATTCCATAGAGATCAACGGGTGCATGAACGTGAAGCGCTTGATAGGGTGTTTGATAAGTGTCCTGTACTGGTTTCATGCCGATCCTGCCCCAGCGATCACGCGCAAAAGCAGCCTTCGATGGTTCAACACGCACTGCTCTGTTAGCACAGCGAAGGTCGTAGCCTGTGCGCCCTCCATCCCTCCCTCCTTCTTCTGCAGACGGTCCTGGTGGCACCCTGCCATTCATTGCGCTTGCAAGACTTTGTGTCACAGGACCGTACCGCCGAGCGCATCTGCAAGGGCTTTTGCCCAGGGTTCAAGATACCGGAAAGCCAACATGCCCACACATTGACTAGGAAGGGATTCTATAGCAAAAATACGATCGATCTGCTCTTGTCCTTTGCACAGACATGAAGGATGGGGTTTGTCCCACCTAACGTAGACCCTCTAAAAGTAAGGTTGTTAATCTAAACTAATTGGCTAAGCTACGCTTTGCTAAGCTAGTAGTCTGAGGACATGATATGCTTTAACGTTTGGCCTGCCCTGAAGTGGTCAGGCAGTTGGACTAGATGATCTTTGTAGGTCCCTTCCAACTGGAATTCTTCTCCTCGTCTCGTCTCGTCTCGTCTCGTCTCGTCTCGTCTC